GTGTTCTTTTTCCTACATATACAACAACACGCGTACTTATGCACAGACATACATAGAGATAGAGAGGGATAAAGCGAGAGAGAGAGAGAGAGAGAGAGAGAAAGAGAGAGAGAGAGAAATGTATATACTCATGCATGACTATACTGTATCAGATTAGTATAATTAATTCACATATACCCTGCTTTAGGTTCATGCTGTAGAATATTTACCATTCTCCGACCACTGGATAATCCACTGCTTTCGACTTGAACTGGAATAAACAAACAACACTATAAAATACTTTTTATCTTTAAGCCTGACGATGTTTTCACCATGTAGCTCGTTTATAGAATATTAACTTTTTCTTGACAATACATTCAATATTCTTCATCAGTTCATTGACTCCGATGCCATGTAAGCGATGTTTTAAAATCGTATTACAATTAAATTAAAATTCATCCATTTATTTATTCCATTATTGATTCAAACGCTGTGCAATTCATTCTTTTATTTGTGACTTAATAAATTCTCTTATTCCTTAGATTAATCGATCAATTCATACCACTGACTTGCTGTACCTTCGCAATCATTTCTTCTGCGCATGCGTCTTTACACTAACGCATGACTCCATCTTGAGTTATAAATTTCTTTTTTCCTCAGTAAGGCGCTTCTTCGTTTCAATGGCGACTAGCAATTTCTGCATAATATTCATCACTCGACAATAAATTTTCTCTTTATTATTCTTTTGTCATTTATTTGGAATTTGAATGAATTAATTTCAACTTGGAAATACATTTTTTTACTCTTTAGTATTTAAGACTTTTTCTCTTCTTTAAAATTCGACATTGTTTTTCATTTTTTCTTTGCTTTTCACCTGGCCTTTTTTTTATTCATACGCCTGCTTTTCACTTGTGAAAGACTGCATTCATTTTCTTTTTGTCAATTTGCTTAAACGAATAAAATAAAAGCAATCGCCGATATCTTTTGTGTTCAATTCGGCTTTTAGAGACTGGTTATATGACATCTGCTAGTAGACGTAGAAAGGTACGGATAAAATACGCCCAAATAGTCTGTCACGAAGATTTGTGACGTAGGTAATGATATATTTTTATGAGGAATATACATACAAATATATCCACACACACACACACACACACACACACACACACACACACACACACACACATATATATATATATATATATATCTTCTCATCGGGAGATTGGAGGATGAGTATTTGAGGAGCGTGGGACCACCTTTTAATTGCTTTTGTTCCCAGATCCGCCCTGACCCGGGGTGGTAGCACCCATTAGGGTTCAAGATATGGGCAAATAGTGTCTACCAGAGTTGACCAAGCTCTTTAGTGTTATAGAACAGGATTGGTCTAAGAGATGGACAACTCTTACACGAAAAACCTGAGGTCTATTGTCTGCATCGTCTGTGGCATTTATTTGCATCGACTGAGTGTATTAGTAGTTCCGAAAAGTGCTGATGATTCTGCACAAGTCTTCACCACTTTAATATATATATATATATATATATATATATATATATATATATATATATATATATAATATATATATAAAAGTACTGGTAATAAATTCGTTGCTATAATAAAATAATTATCATATGAGGTAATTTTGGAGTTTAATATATATATATATATATATATATATATATATATATATATATATATATATATATATCGTCATCAGAGATAGACGATTTTGCTCTTATAACAGGTTATGAGCGTGGCTAGACATCCGATTGCTTCCATCCCGGAACGATTTGGCATCAGTCAGAAATTCTAATCCCTAGGCTATCGACGTCCGTCATAGAGAAAGACGAATTTTTACGTTTTTATTTTTTCATAAGCACGCCAATAACCCAGAGAACCAAGCCAGTTTGAGAACTCAAATTGTCAGTTTATATATATATATATATATATATATATATATATATATATATATATATATATATATATATATATAATCTTTTTGGATTTGAAGGTCCGATGAATTAGGGCAGTTTTACGACCCTAATGAAATAAATATTGTCTCATGAGGCTTTAGTTTTTGTGCCTTTATAATAATAATTATTGTTCTAATTCTAACATAGAGATCTCCCTTGATTTATATCCTTTTGCAAATATCCATACTGATCTCTTATATTATCAGTATATATATATATATATATATATATATATATATATATATATATATATATATATATATATATATATATTCTCGGATGAATAAATTTTTATTCATTATTATTTTCTACTATTCCATAATTTCTTTTCTGGATACTCATGTTTAAGTAGACGTTCCAATTTTTTTTAAAAACAGTGTGAACTACGTCTACCGGATTTCTTCTTCGGGATATCATGAAGTTTATGTATCTTCGGCAAGGTTCGAACCAGTATCCTCATTTGTAAGAGAAACCACCTTCTGATCCCGTGTATTTTAGGGTTTATTATTAATGTTACTGGAAAGTTTGCGATTACATTTGGTTCATTAAGCCCACGAAAGATATATTTGGGAGATTATCCAGTTGTCTGCGAAAGAACAGCTGCCATTTTCAAAACAGCATGCATTAGGGTACATGTCACCTTTCCTCTCAACGGGACATTACAATGCGTAGCGAACGCCGAGTCTCATTGGCCACAACATTGGATAGTAGACAGTGTACAGTACCCTAAGTTTAGTTGGCTACATACTGGCATATCTAATAATTCTACCGAACCTTTTCAAAAGTCTATCATGAAAACTTCACACAGACACACACACACACACACATGTTCACTCTATACAAGGCCCGGGAGTCACTCGAGGTAGAAGGTTATTGAGAACGTTGCACAGTTTGTGTGGATATATCAGGGTGATAACAGTTAACCCTAAACTTTAACAGTTGTACTCGATTATAAGAAAATTATTGATTTTTTTCCTAGTTAAATATTCGTAGTCTATAATTCTTGAATAGAAATCATCTTCCGAAACCACAATTTTTCCTAAATGACCAAGGGAACGTTCTTTGAATCAGTGTGCCGGAAGGTCTTTCCTTACCATGTATGCTTTGTTTCTGAGAATGATTAAAGTATTGTCGAAAGCATACTATTCATTCCACCTTTTTCCCGGTACAAATTTACATATACATTTAAAAAATGAGTAATAAAGCCGCTGCATTCCAGGCATATTGAGGTACAGGTTTTATAGATTGATTCTCAGTTAAGCTATCTTTCAATCGGAAGAAAATATACTCTAAATGTTTTGGTTTCGTTTAGTTTAGTTTGGTTTTTATTGCTGTTAATATTTATTTTTTTCAAAAATGTGTTGCCGGCAATAAATTTTTACAAAAAATCATTTCTTGTATTAAAACGGATTTTTACACTTTCATTGTGTTTTGACCTGAACTTGGGGGTTAACTATTTACCCATAACTGGGACCCTAACAGGTGTTACCACCTCGGGTCAGGGTGGACCAGGGAACACCAGCAATTAAGATGTGGTTCCACGCTTCTCAAAACCTCCTGATCAGAGGCTTTGCTGTCCGGCGTAGTTTATCGTCTTACCCAGGATGCGGATGTAGTTTATCGCCATACTCAGAACGCGGATGTAGTTTATCGTCTTACCCAGGACGTGGAAATAGTTTATCGTCTTACCCAGGACGTGGAAATAGTTTATCGTCTTACCCAGGACGTGGATATAGTTTATCGTCTTACCCAGGACGTGGATATAGTTTATCGTCTTACCCAGGACGTGGATATAGTTTATCGTCTTACCCAGGACGTGGATATAGTTTATCGTCTTACCCAGGACGTGGATGTAGTTTATCGTCTTAACCAGGACGTGGATGTAGTTTATCGTCTTAAACAGGACGTGGATGTAGTTTATCGTCAAACAGGACGTGGATGTAGTTTATCGTCTTAACCAGGACGTGGATATAGTTTATCGTCTTAACCAGGACGTGGATATAGTTTATCGTCTTAACCAGGACGTGGATGTAGTTTATCGTCTTAAACAGGACGTGGATGTAGTTTATCGTCTTAACCAGGACGTGGATATAGTTTATCGTCTTAACCAGGACGTGGATATAGTTTATCGTCTTAACCAGGACGTGGATGTAGTTTATCGTCTTAACCAGGACTTGAATGTAGTTTATCTTCATACCCAGGACGGTCTAAATGTTTTGTTAAAATTTACTAATAGTCTATTTGTCAATTTAGTCCCCAGATAGAAGTTCTTCCAGTCTGAACATTTTTGATCCAACCATTCGATGATTGAAGTCTTTTATTCACCTTTACATTATATTTGTGTTTTTATCGAACTATTATTATCTTTATTTTTAAATGATTATTCCCGAGCGTATGGTTGTCGACTCACATTTTTATAACCTGAAAATAGAATAATATTTTCACTAAAAAAAGTAAACAAAATATTTTTTATTAACAAATAACTCGCCTACAAAAACGCCTGGTAATTATGCACCAACCCAATATCTATCTATAGGATAATATTACCAGCATTTTAAAGCTACGGACGTTTGATCAAAATGTTTTATTCATATTTTTTTCTGTTGGTAGACACGACAAGCAACTCTTTTTAATCCTAACTATTTCGGCTAATCTTAAGCATTCAGATTCATTTAATGAAGTTGAAAATAAATAAACTGGGGAAGGATTTGAACTCGCATCCCGTGTCACGGAAGCATGACATAAAAGGCAACACAGAAGCGATTGGTCCAAGAAGCCATTGCATTCTGAGACATTATTCATTCTTTTTTTCAATATTACCGCTAAGTTCGCTTTGATTTGCACATATTAAGATAAGAGAGACTCGGTATCAGTTGAGTCATTTGCTATAAATGATGAATGAAATAATGTTAATGGTCTTTGCCCTCAAAAACGTCACTATCAGACCTGATAGTCTGCATATCAACGGCGTCACGAAATCATTAATAATCGACGCTGGAGTCACTGAAGATCACATTCAACAAAGATTTATTCCACACACTTCTTCTCAGTAATTTATTCATATTTCCGCCTTTTGACTTTTAATTCAAAACATTTTCTTTCATTCTTTCCATTTCGGTCGATTCACTATCTATCTATCTATCTATCTATCTATCTATCTATCTATCTATCTATCTATCTATCTCAGTCTGTTCATATCTATCTCTTCTCATTTTATATCTATCTATCTATCTATCTATCTATCTATCTATCTATCTATCTATCTATCTATCTATCTATCCCGGTAGATAGATATGATCTACCTATTGGGTGGTGCATAATTATCAGGCGTTTTTAAACAATATGTATTATGAAAAAAGAAACATAACAATGCAACAATAACATTTTAAAATGCTTATTCCGGGGCATATGATTATCGACACGCATTTTTATTACCTGAAAATTTAAATAATATTTTTATTAAAAGAGTAAACAAAACAATATTTTTTTTATTAACAAATAACTAGTCTACCAAAACGCCTGATAATTATGCACCAACCCAATAGTATATCTATCTATCTATCTATCTATCTATCTATCTATCTATCTATCTATCTATCTATCTATCTATCTAATACAGTTCCATTTTCTTTCTTTATTTCTCCCTGTCTCTGTTAAATTATTCTGCTATCTATGATTGTTCATGTTCTTGTAAATCGACAACGTGAACCTGACATATTGCCTTCCCTTTTGCTAGGAGAAGACTAGTGTTCTAAGACGTAAACTCACGGATGACCTAAACTAATCCTTGACTAAGTAATAATACGGCACTTGACCATCACAGAAATTCCATGTTACCATTAAATCTCAAGTCAAGATGAAGGCTGAACCATCAGGACCACTCCTGTCCCTAAATTCTCTAGAAGAAACTGAATGCATAAATTAAGTTTCATATGTTTGAATCTTATTAAAATTGTAACAATTCCGAGGTAGTATACAGTAAGAGTAAAAACATTTCTCTTCAGGTATGTTAATTAAACATTGAAACTTAAGTATTATTGTTTTAATTCTTGACATCAGGTTACCCATAACTGATTTGTTGAAGAAGAAATTCAGGGATAATTCTTTCCCAGCAAACAATATCCTTTGAGGGTAGCGTAGCTGTGAGTTCAATCCATGGGCCAGGTAGTATAGCTGGTCACTCGTATTCGAGGATACCCGTCTACTATGCCGGCGAGACAATCCCTATGCTCAGTATGTAGCCCTGTCTACCTCCCTGAACGAGACCTTGGCCTTCGGCAAAGCTTCGTCCGGGTTCCTCTCTGCTAATGCAGAGAGTTCGACAGACGCCGACTCGGAAGGTCACAGAGGCAGCGTACTACACTTTGATCCTAGCCTCCAGGCCGAGACAATCCCTATGCTCAGGCGCATTTGTATTTGTTCAACACCCACAGAGTCCACCTGTGGTTTATACTGCAACTATAACCTTATAGACCTTAGTTGCAGTTTCTGAGAAAGAGTGTGTTATCTATCGTGATCAGCAATTTGAACAAGGCGAGCACGCTCAAGCCATCGGCCACGATGACTTGTGACTTCGTGCTAGCACAGCTATCGACGGCACCGAAGGTTTCCGTCTACCCGATTTCACTCATAAGGTCTAAATTCCAAAGCTGTTCAGATATAAATGTAAGTCGCGTAGTCACTCGTATCCGAGCACGCCAATCTACTAGGCAGGCGCCGGCCCAGGCACACTTGTGTTTTTTTAACACTCACAAGGCTCACCGGTGGTTTATACTGCAACTACGCTGATCGCGTCTTAGTTACATCGGGAGAGTGCGTGCTATTTAGCGTGATCAAGTCTGAACAAAGCCAGCACGCTCAAACACTCGATCACGATGACTTGGGACTTCAAGCTAGCACAACAATCGATCGACGACCTCCAAGGTTTACGTCTACCCAATTTCACTCACAAGGCGTGGGCTAACCGGTGGTATGGTTTTCAGACACTTTCCAAAGGTGCCACTCGCTAGGATCGAACCCTCCAGTTCGATAACAAATCAATCATGGTGAGATTCGAATGGTCAGAAGGCGAACGTTCTAACCTCTCGGCCACGTGACCCTACGGTAGTAAAGACTCGGGATCAGCGCAGATAGGATGAGCAATAAGTTAACTATACTAAATCAACCGAAAAATGGCAGCGAATGCTGGACAATGTCCTCAAAGAAGAAGACAAGACTTAAAGTAACAGAAATTTCGTTCTACAGAAGGATACTGAGGATACTATGGACCGAACATATGAGCAACGACTAGGTCTGGGAGAAAATGGAAATAAAAAATAAACTGATAATTAACAGAGAGAGAGAGAGAGAGAGAGAGAGAGAGAGAGAGAGAGAGAGAGAGAGAGATGATCAAAGTGCTTGGGGAGACATGCAAGAGAAAACTCCTTGTCATCTTGTATTAGGAACATAAAACCAATGAGCTTGTGCGGAAAAGTTTTGTCGCCCACCGGAAACCTCTTCTCGCCACTGTCAAACAGAGAAAAATGGCGTGGTCAGGAGACGTTACGAGGCACGACAGCCTGTACAAGACCATCATGTCATGCTCCGTTGAAGGTAGACATAGGAGAAGACGCCAAGACAAAAACTGATTGGATAATGTCAAACAATGGAAAAGTATGAATATACCAGGATTGCCATTGATAGACCATTGTGGAAGAGATTCAATATGGCGTCTGTATTCGGAACCCCTCTACGGTTACAAAAGTCAAGGGGATTATTATTATTATTATTATTTTTCTTGATTTCTGGCGTTTACACATTTCTTTCCGGGTCCCGCACAGGGACCTAAGGTTAGAAACGCTATCATGACACTTTCGACTGCAAAAAAAAAAAAAAAAAAATTACATAGATAAAGCCCTTCGTAAAGTGTGGGCTGTACTTGTCAGAACAATTTTTTGTAGATATTTGAGGCATGGACTTCCAGGAATCCCTTCAATCTTCAATTAGTCTACTGGAATCTTTTCCAACAAGTCCTGGGGCTCCAACTACAACAGGGATTGTTGATGTTCCCATATGCCACATTTTTGAGATTTCTATTTCAAGGTCCTTGTATTTTGACAGCTTTTTGAATACCTTCAAAGATACGTTGCAGTCTGCAGGGACTGCCATATCAATAAGGAGGCACTTATTATTATTATTATTATTATTATTATTCTGAGAATCGGCGCAAAAATACATTGAAACTATGTTTGAAACTAAAAATTGCAAACTGTTACAGATACAACTATTTGGCGCTATACAATCCGGGAGAAGTGTAGCATTAAAACAAAAATAAAAAATAAAAAAAAATGGAGCGGTTTAACCAAAAAGGCAAAACAGGATATCCAAAATCAATAAAACTCAAGATGAGTTCCTTATTGTCTGCTGTCTCTCTACAATCAGAAAACATTTCGTGACGACTTATTAACTAATTGCGCATGGGTAGACAATACCAGCCTCAAGCATCCAAGGACGGGAGTGAGGCTCTTCGGATCCAAGGACAGACAAAACGTTTACATCCCATAGTCTGATCGGTGAAGATTTTTTTATCTCTCTACAACACGCATTGTGAAATTGTTAGCATCAATTCTTTTGAAATAATGGAAAGAGTTTCGTGTTAAATCTGACGTCATACAAAATATCACTGCAGAATTTTCTTCTTTTTTATATATATATATATATATATATATATGTGTGTTTTTATATATATATAAATATGTTTTATACACACACACACACACATATATATTTTTTAATATATATATATATAAAAAGGTTTTATACATATATATATATATATATATATATATATATATATATATATATATATATATATATTGTGTGTATTTAGGCAGCAATTTTTACATTGATGCAGGTTTCATTAAATAATATAGACAAGTTTTGTCTATTTATTTTAAGTAAGTTCCTTTCATATTGTCTAATAAGCTTAATAACATTATCATTGAAAGACGAAAGGAAATCACCATATTGATACATGTTTTAATCCTATCTAAGCTTTCGGCTTACAAAAGCCATTATTAAAGATGACAATTACATTTCAATATATCAAACAAAACACGGACAAAACAATAATGATAGTCTGTTTTTGTTACATGAAAAATTTCAAAGCAACGGTAAACTCGGCTACTCATACTTAATACTTCTCGTTTTTACTCTCGCGTGGTCATGTGGGACAACACGAGCTGCGGTGCGATTTTCGCTTCCGCGACTCGTATACTCGAGTTTGTCTCAATAGATTATATTTTATTTTCTCTTTTAATCAAAGTAACATTCCCTATGTCAAAATTATAAGTTTAAAGAGTAAATAATCTACTGAGACGAAAATGTATAGAAAGTGCATTGATTGCTAGTTCATCCACCATGATTGGTATTCAATAAGGAAAGTAAGGGAAAAAAATCAGTCTAAAAAATCAATCCAAAAACTTCAAACTCTGCTTAGTGGAAAATATAGCTATAATTCCTTACCAGACCAAAACAAACTACTAAATAAACGATCAGAACTCATCTCAGAATGCAAACAAGAAAACAAATTTTTACTACCTTACTTAAAAATCGAAAACTGAAAAGAATAAATAAAATAAAGATAAATAAGCAAAACCAAGTAAAATAAAATAATCCAGATAAATAACTAAATAAATAAAGTAATTAATAAACAAATTAACAAACGACTCCGGTCAAAATAACCGTCAGAATAGACTACAACAATCAATTCAAAAACTGCAACGTCTGCTTGGAGGAAAAATGGCTATAATTTTCATTCCCAGACCAAACAAACTACTAAAGAAATGATCAGAAACCATATAAAACTTTTTACTAAGTTACTTAAAAATCAAAAACTGAAAAGAATAAATAAATGAAAAAAAAAACAAGTAAAATAAATTAACCCAAATAAATAAATAAACACATGAACAAACCATTCCCGCCAAAATAACCGTTAGACTAGACTACTCACAATGAACCCTATAAATAGTCGAGAAGAAAACATAACGCATGCGGCCTGATGATTGCATTTAGAATGAAACAGTCTGTCGCCTCAGAGAATTGATTTCAATGTTCACTTTTATATTTACATACACTCTTTCCACAGCATACCATAAATATAGCATACCTTAAAGCTATATATATATATATATATATATATATATATATATATATCACTCTGTTTATTTTCATATGTATGCTTATATTTCTTCGCTAATTATGGCTATCTGCCCAGTTATTGACATAAACAAAGCTGTTACACACTTTATTCACCTTGTCCGAATGGTTATGCATAATGCCAATAAACTAACCAAGGTCTCTTATATAATTTAATTCCTGCGTAAATACGTTCATTGGTATTTATCGATAGTTTTTTTCTTTCTGACAATCGATTGCTTGCCTCCAAAGACATTAAACAGAGATAAAAAAATACGAGACTGGCTTTTCTACACACGCATGTCTAGGAAGCTAATAAAGTATTGACTTTCTTATCACAGATACTCATAAAATATTTACTACGCAATAACAATATATATTGATTGTTAGCAGCTTCACATCTACAAGAAACTTGGCACTTTTTAATATAGAATATCGTAGACATTCTGTTGCAAAAGAAAGAAGGGAAAATAAAAA